TCCTCTGGGAATATGAGCCAGTTACCTATCTGCTCACATCATATGTTCTTCTGTTAAATGGGGCAAGCAGAAAGAAACTAACATGTGGAAAGTGGGCATGTGGAAATGAGCACAAGACCCTGCATATACTACAGGAGATAGGTGATCACTCATGGCAGCTAGAGCAGCCTGCGGGCACTTGCTAAGCAGATCTCTTAGATAATAGAAAGCAATTTTCCCCAACTCAAACTCCGATCATTCCTTGTATCATGCCACCAAAACTCTGGAATAGATTTACTTTATCTACAACAATCTTATTGAACAGAAGCTAGAAATTAAAGCCAGGTCAACTGGGAAAAATCTGAGAGTGTAACGTAAATATTTAAGTATAGTGTTATAGAATTTTAATTCCAAAAAAAATATTTGGAGATTTTAAGAAACTGACAGATTGCAATGAACTGAGATTCTTGTAGGTGAGATTATTATTTCATGGCTTTGTTCTATGTGTGTGTGTATATGTGGGTGTGTGTATGCACGTGTACATTTGCTAAGATATGTATAAACCCATGCCTCTTTTTGATAATATAAGAATTGTATTCTTTTAGAGCTACCTGAAATTCAAAATATAAACAAGTAGGAAAAAGCACCAAACTAAGGGCTAGGGTGTAGCTCAGTGGGGCAATGACTACATACCATGCTCAAAGCCCTGGGTTAAAACCAAGGCAACACACACACACACACACACACACACACACACACACACAGATAAATGAATGAATAAATAGATAAATTAATAAGCTAAACTTTTAAAAGCTATTTAAACAATGTAAGTTTGGAATAATGCATTCTCAAACTACACTTAAGCCAAACTAGATCTGAAGTGATTCCCTGAACTTCAATCCTGAGAAAAGCTGACTGGACCTAGAAACAATATTCCATGCAATAGTATAAATTGGACCAGAGTTCTATAACTATATTTTGAAATATTTTTTTTAGTTGTGGATAGCCACAATGCCATTATTTTATTTATTTTTATATGATGCTCAGGATCAAACACATGTGATAGGCAATAATTCTAACACCAAGGCAAAAGCCAACCCTATAAGTACATTTGCCAAAGAAAATGATTAGTTCCTTGGAAAAGATCATTGTTTTTGTTATATTTTTCCATTTTTTCTGGTTTATGCCTGGAAAAAATGAAAGTACAAATTTAATAAGATCTAATCTGTACTCTAAATTTAACATTTCAAACAGATAACAGATTTACTAACTACACGAAGGAAGAACACGATGAGTGTACTGGAGCGGGGAAGGCAACAGGCCACACCAGGGTACTGGAGACCTATGAGTCAGTCAATCTCAATATCATCCTGTGATGCAATCAGAAAGGGAAACTGGCAAGTGAGTGGTTAGGACCAATAGCCTATAATATAAGACAAAGGAACTGAACAGATTTCCAAAAAAGTATGCAAAGGCAAAACTGATTCCACAAGGACCTGGACACCACAAGAAACTGAAACCTCTGTCAAGAGGCCACATATAGGCACAAGGGAATAAGGACAACAAGGGAAGATACTAGGTAAACACAAATGGTCTAAAAAACATGGATGCAAACTCAAAATTACAAGAGAAGCCCACCCAGGAAACACGCAGAAGGAGTAAAAGGTCTTGAACAGCACACCCCTCCAAACATTTCATACCCAACACCACTTTGTTCCCTCTGAAATGAAGGAATGATATGCTTCTTTTACTACAACACACTTTCCCACTTTTGCCATGGGTCCCATCCTCATATTCAACCCCCTCAACAGGCCACACTCACCATCCCATTTTGAACTTCTTCCCCCTCTACTAATTAAAAAATTCCTTCATTTCAAAGAGGAGGTAGGGAAACTCATTCCTCAGCAGCACACTGACTGCTGCTAGTTGCTTTCCTCCATTGGTTCTACAACCCCCTGCAGCCTGGCTCCTTTATTTCTATTTGCATTAAAACAACCATGAACATTCATACAAATAATTGAAGTCATCTTTTAAAGCATGTCCAACTGGAAACTCCAATATATTTTCAATACCTTGGGAGGATACATGATAACTGAATTCCACCTCCTTACAGACTGAAAGAACAAATCAAGGGTGCTTGGTTGTGGAAGAAGGCCTTCATGTCCTCAATGATGCCCATCCACATACCACACTGCATATGGTCTTCCCAAACAGGAGGTCATTTCTCATCTCCTCATCTTTGCTACCCTGTGCATTCTCCCCACATCCCTACCTCAGTAACTTAAAACTTATAGAAATTCTCAGGTTGGAAACCATCTAACCTTGTCACCTTTCCTGATGCCCCACCATACTCCCAGCATGATAACATGAGAGGCCATTCTTTGACCTTCCGTGGCAGTACATTAAAGTTCTTTTCTTAAGCAGGTCACCTGTCCAATACTAAGTGGTGCTCTTGCTCTTACCAAACAGGCTCCCACTTCCCTAAGGACAGGAACCATCTTAGACACAGGCAGGACAAGACAGAAGTACTACATCATGACATTTCTTCTTCTCTCCTTAAGGGAGGCGGTGTCTTCTGCCTCCATGGTATGATTACAGCATATTAATGGAGCAAAATGGTATGTTTGAACAGGAGAGGTCTCCCCAAAACTCCTATTAACACAAGAATGTTCACAGGTGAAAGCTGTAGACTTTGAGGACTCCAACATAATCAGCAGGGAGTGATTGGGATAACTGCATAAAACTGAAACAAGGCTAAACATAGAAGATCACAGTGGGTAAGGGGGGTGGCCTGGAAGATTTTTTTCTTCCTACTGATCTTTCCTCTCTCTGTGCTTCCTGATCCCACCATCACTTGCGCAGCTCTCCTCCACTGGCCCAACCCCATGCTGTACTGCCTCGCTTTGGGGACAGAGGGTCAAATTCAGCCATCTACATACTATGACCTCCCAAACCCTGAACCAGAAATTACTCCTCTCCCTCAAAGGTGTTTTCCAGGTATTTTGGTCATGGCACACAAAAGGTGACTGAAACTGAAATTAGTGACAACACGTAAGATTACTTCTATGACTGACTTGACCATGTGCTTCAGAAGCCTGTGGAAGTGGTTTGCGGGAGCAAGTTTGAAAAGCTGAGAGAGGAAACCTGAAAGAGCTTCAGAACACTGTACATGAAGCTTCATGAGTGATTCTAGTGAGCTCAGAAGACCAGAATGCCAATAGGAACAGGTACTGTGCTCACGAGGTTTCAGAAAGAAATGAGGGCTTGCTTGGGAATTGAAATACAGGCCACCTGTGGTACATTCTGTCAGAAAGCTTAGTTATTTCGCCCGTGTCCTAAGAACTCTGGGAGGCTGATTTCACTAGAAATGGACTAATCTGTCAAAGAGAATTTCAAGACAGCATGACATTCAGTTGGTGGCATGGACAGTGCAGGCAGTTTCCAGCCTGGTATACTGTGAGAGTCAGGAGCAGAAAGCACATACTTTAAAACTGACATTTGGCCAAACCCTTGTGTATAACACTGAGGATAAGGAGACATGTTTACTGAAGAGAAAATAGGTCTTGAAGAGATGCTAAATACTATATAGAGGAACAATGGGAAGGAAGCTTGCAGGCCATTGCAGGAATGTGCAAGACCACTCCTACCACAGATCCACAGTATAGGACAGCAAATTCCTTAGAGTCCAGCCTACATGAGGGACCTGCCTCAAATTGGGGTGGGGGGAATCTGAAGTTGTTTTCACCATGTTTAGCTGACCAAGACTTCAGAGCATGCAATGGCCCTTATCCCAGGTACCTGAGGTAGCAGAACGTGGCATCATCTAAGAGGAGAAGGTTCTACTGCAAGGCAGAATGCTGGAGTTAGGAGGCGATGGACATTCTATCAGGATTTCAAATGAAAGGTCTGGGAGGGTAGACAAAGCATAGCAGAACCAAGGCCCTGAAGATTGCATCCAAGCAGCCCAGGTATGAAGCTGAAAGGGTGAGGCTCATGCTAGGAAGGAGACTCCAGGAAGTAAGAGATGCCAATCACATGACTGTCTGCTGAGAAAACCTGGAGGTTGCAGAGAGATACAGTATAACTAGAGCCCAGGTGCATGCACCCAGCCAGGTTAAAGGGGCAGGGCTGACAAAGCCCTTTGGAAATAACATCTCACAACCATGTGTCCAAGATGATTGTCTCAGAAACAGGGGACAAGTTTTAAACACCAGGTTTGGGTATTCATTTTGCCACAACCATATTCCTCCCTATTTGAAAGGGAATATTTATTTTCTGCCATTCACTATTGCATATAGGAAAACTGCTTTTGATTTTATAGGTGCTCACTATCAAGACCTTGCCTGGAGTCTCAGAGGAGACTCTGGATTTGAACAGGATTTGGGGACAGTGCTGGATCTGCTAAGACTTTGGGACTCTTGAGAAGAAAATAAATAAATAAATCTTATACTGTGAGATGGACAGTAGCTATTAGGGACCAGGAGCAGGATGTTAGGGTTTGAATATGAAGTGTTCCCTGGAAGCTCAAGCTAAGGCAATACTATTCACAGGAAAAGGAGAAGAATATGAGAGCTATAACCTCATCCCAACTGAGTGGTTACTCTAGGCAAGGTGCAACGTAGCTGAAGGTGGTGGGTCACTGAAGGTGTGTCCTAAAAGTGCTATTCTTTCGGTGGCCCCTTCCTCTCCATCAGCTTCCTAACTCCACCATTGGTAGAATACCTCTCCCACTCAAGGTCCTATCCCCATGATGTGCTGCTTCAATATGAATGTAGAGCAAAGAAGTTGGCATACACTGAGACCTCTGAATACATGAGTACCAAATAAACTGTCCCATGTCTAACTTGTTCTCATCATGCGCTTAATTCACAGCAAAGCAAAAATTGACTGAAAATAAAGGTGTAGGGACCTTGGGTTTCTATACCTTTAACTCCTAATACACTTAGGCCTATATGTTCCTCTGTTGCCATGGTAGCCAACAGTCTCAGAACACAGACTTCTAACAGTTGCATGTTTTAGCCACTGCGATGGAGGAGCTGAAGGACTTCGCATATACCGCTTATGCCACTGGCTTTAACAGCATCTCTTCGTATGGACAGCAGTCAGAGCTCAGCATGACTAATCCTCAAAGTGTGAGTGTCTGTTTCTGTGCACTGCTCTCTATTTCTGTATGTGTGCCTGTGTGCTTCCTTGTGTTTCTGTGTGGGTGTGCACATGTATGTGAGAGAGAGCGAGAGCAAGAGACAGACAGGGAGAGAGGGAAGGAGGAAGAGGGAGATAGTGTGCCTATGCTTTTCCCCATTCACTTGCAAGGGTATAATGGAAAACACTGGAATAAAAATGCCGTCAGATGATGGGAGAATGGGCGTCATCTCAAAGCTACACTTTATCTATAAAGAATTTGAGTAGCAACTATCCTCAGGCTTTAACATATGGGTGACCTTTGGTCCAATGATCCAGCAAATAGGAACATGAAGGGCAAGACAGAGAAAAATAAAGAGGTATTGACTGATACTAATAAGACAACCGTTAGGGGCTAGGGCTGTAGCTCAGCAGCAGAGCATTTGCAAAGCACCTTTGAGGCACTGGTTCCTCAGCACCACAGAAAAGCAAATAAATAAATGAAATAAAGAAATTGTGTCCATCTATAACTGAAAAAAATATGTTTAAAACAATAATACCAGTCGTAGGAAACTCAGGGTCATGAGTACTTACCCTTGTGGTCATTAAGAAGTGATACCTGAAGTATCCTTTAAGAATAGGGTTAAGAATTACAGAATAGTCACACATATGTTTCTTGCTGGCTCTCCTATCCTATATCATGGTCTCTCTATTTGATATGACAACCTTTAACTCCTAATACACTTACATGGGTGTGTGTATATATGTACATTATACATTCATACAACTATTTCTGTATGTATGACTAAAACGGAAAGGTAATGAGGAAATCAACCAAATCCTTTCTGGAATGGTACTCATTTCCTCTGGATCGTGGCATCAGGGCAGCATTCAATGTCAACTTCACCTTCTCCTGCACTTTTCAAATTTGCTTCCACTCTCTTGAACAACAGGTCATTCTTTCGCCAAAATAAGACATAGCATGAGAGGTACCATGTGGAGATATTCAGTCACAGAGTTATTAGGCACTATAATAGAGAAAGGTCTGCCTATTCTGCCTTTGACTGGGGGATGCAAACTGGGGGAAGACAGTGTGCTTCTGACAGAGAGCAGGAGTTCTGAAAGGGAAAAGGGATGGGAATTATGGCTAAAGTGCACAACTCTCGTGCCAATACCTTACATCAAGGTTCTTTTCTTTTGAAGATTCCTCACTTGAGGACAAACTGGGATTGGAGCACCATGAAAGAGTCAGTCCACAGCAGCACTTACTGACAAAGAGGACTGCATTTCCAAATCTCAATCAAACCTGAGCCTCTCTATAGGCTATTTCCCCTATGAGAACACCATTGACAGGAAGGACATTACATCTTCTGAAGACTCAACTTCTGAGTGTTCTTCCTGCCACTTCCTTCCTCCTGACCAAGAGTCATGGGTGACTCAAAGTGGAAGGATGCCCACTGGGAGACAAGAACAAATTCAGGACGACCCAGAGCAGCTTTGTAAACCCATCATCCAGGCAGTGGATATTGATCCGGGCTCCCACTATGAAGACTCAAGAGCTACTCTGGATCTAAATAGAGACTACCAGAGAACAGAGAGGATAAACCAGAATCTCGGGAAACTTCACGATCTAGTGAAAAACCTTAAGGAACTTCTAGACGATCAGAAAGATGACAAAGACGATGATCTTGTGTTCTCTGGTTCTCCTCAGGACGAGGATCTCCAGCAGTCCAGTAGCACCTCTCCCGACATGTATCAGGTCTGTTGTCAAGAATGTGAAGCTTGTCAGGCCCTGCTCAAGTGCAATCCATCAGAAAATGAAGACATCAGCTTATTTCCAGAAATTTCACCCAGCCTGGAAGAAGATGAACTTGTTGAGGTGAGCATGCAGCTGCTTGATTTCAGAGCAAGCCACAGGCCCAATGGGGGAGGCAGGTTACACAGCATGGAGTCACTCATTCTCCCTGCTATGAAACAGGGGTAGACCCCAGGTAGACATTGAGATGAGCAATGAGAGAACAATGACAGCATGAAAGGAGCTGGAGAAGAGGTATAAGGAAAGTGCCAAGGAACACTCAGAGACCCAAGAAAGGTGGAGAACAAAGAGAAGGACTAATGATCATTCAAAAAAAAAGGGCAGCAGCGGGGGTGAATGTTGTTTCTGTGTGTCTCTCTATGGGTGTGTTTAATGTTTAATGAGCACACAGTTGGGCTCTTTTTGGTAAGAAAAGAAATTAAATTACCATAAATGAACAAATATTGACTTCATTGCTGCTGCTGCTATTATATGTATCTTACTCATTCTCTTTCTCTTGCCAGTGATAAGCCAGGAGACTGGCACTGCAGACAGCCTCTCAGTCTCAGCAGGGCAGCCAAAGGAGGAAGACTCCCCTTCCCATTCGGGAACCACATCCTGTCTGAACATCAGGTTCATCATCCACTGGCTCAGGAAGCGAGTGGTTTTCTCCCTGCCACGAAGAAAGCGCCCTGACACGGCCCACAAGGACCCCAGTCTTCTGGAATCAAAGAAACAAGGTTTGCTTAGAGGCAAGAGAACCCAAACTCGTAATCCCACAAGTTAGGAAACCCTATATATCCCCAATTTTAAATTTTTTCACAACCTCTACTCAATAGTACTCATGGTTTTGTTTTTTCCCCAATAAAAAATGTTGTTACGTCTTCCTCCTCTTCCACCCTATAATGTGAGCCCAGGTTGAAATTATACATTCATCTTGTCCAGAAGAGTTCTAGGCATTCTCAGAATATCTTAGGCAGTAGTATGCTTCCTACACCAAAGGCACTGTGTTTCTCTCCCACTCCATCCCTTCTTACAATATCCCCCCCTGCCCCCGCCCATGTTATGTAGTTTCTTATTGCATGTGTTTTGTCCTCTTTTATCATTAACAAATCTCTCCACTGCCAAAAGGAAGCAGGACACCTGTCAAGACTCCCACGTGCCAGGATGGTTTGGGAGGAACTTCTGGATCCTGAGAAAATGGCAGCAGACAGTGAGGCACAGGGAATGCTCAGTCCAATTCACAGTGTTTTGGACACACAGAAAGTACTTCTGATGATCCTGGTCAACCAGACTGGTTCTGGCAAGTGGTTTTGACACATTCTGGCATGTTGGCTGGTTCTAGCAACATGGCCAGCATGTGTGACCCATGGAAGACAAAGGTGAGGGCTGGGAATGCTGCTTAACCACCTTAAAGCTTGGCTTTCTTCATTCATGAGATGAGGGAGATGGTACCACAGACTTTATAGGGTTCTTGGGACAATGAATAAGATAAAGCAAGCACTCCAGATATACTCTTGTTGGTAGTGGTGGTCACGTACCTGAAGATCTCTTCAGAAGATTTGATTCACAGAGTATCAAAAGGAGAGTGGGAGTCTCGACAGGTGTTCTGCTTCCTTCTGGCACAGAGAGTATCGAAGGGAGAGATTGGAGTCCACTCTCCTTGAGCTATTTTTCTCACTGAAGCCATTTTACCAAAGGTTAGGTTTCTTTCAGCAGAACTTGATTTAAACCAAGTCCTCTCTCAACCCACTGCAAGATTCTCTCTAAAATCCCTTTGCATGTGTCATGAATATTGCTCTTCTTGTTCACTCTCCCTGTGTTACTAATTCACCTCCTGTGGCCCCTGTCATCTGCCTCGCTTACCACAGGTTTCCTCAAAGGTCCTCCTCCTCCAGCTTCTGCTACCACTCTGCATGACCCTTCATATGAAAAGCACAAAAGTGTTCACTCTCAAAGGCCTGCCTTCCCTCAATTACAACTTCCTTAGCTCCTTCGTCCCTTCCTTCCTTCCTTACTTCCACAAACCCTGGGCACACTAGAATGCCAGATACCTCACGAGCTTAACATACCAAAACAAGAAGTCTGGGGCTGGGATTTGGTTCAGTGGTAGAACACTTGCCTAGCATGTATGAGGCCCTGGTTCAATTCTCAGCACCACATATAAATAAATATAATAAAAGTCCATTGACAATTTAAAAATATATAAAAAAACAAGATGTCTGGGTCTTTGGGGGGTTTTATTTTTGTTTGTTTAAGACTTAAAAGCATGTAAATGTGTGACTATAAAACATTGTGAGTCTGAGTACCCTGCGGTAGAAAAGAATAACACAGCACAAGGAAGATTGATTTTCAAAGTTTAAAAGAAATAAAAGAACAGGGGCCTTTGACTTCTCCAACTTTCTAAGAATGCCATCCCATTTCACAGGTTCACTAGACCACCCTCCTCCCCATCTGTTTGCTTCATGACTTCACCAACATCTGGAGTCCCAAACACTCTGCAAGGAAGACTCCATTATCTCTATTGCACACACGAAGCAAACTCGGGTTAGAAATGTATTTACTGTTGCTAGAAGTAGCATGATTATGGGGCCTGGAACTTAACAGGCGCTCACTCCATGCAATTTTTCTTCAACTGGTTTTGAAAGATGCAGAAAATACATGAAATGGAAGAGTACGAAAGGTTGCCTGGATTTGGTATTATGAGAGTTACTATGACAAGTGGTATTCTTGTTGAGCCTGAACTCAAATAAGAAAGGCTACATATTGTACATGTTTGGCAACTATTTAAATGATTGGCATTTAATTCTCATCAAAGAAATAATGGAGGAACTGCCTCCATCCTGCACTAGCTTGGCCACAGAACTTGGGGAATTCAACAAAGCTAAAATGAGGTTGATACCAGCAATGCCTAGAAGAAATAGTTGCTTTAAAGTCTGAATGCTGGGGAAAATCTATTCAGAGACAGTTTTTAAAAGGACTTCACTGTGATTAGTTGTGAGATAGGATTGATAATTGTTTTGAACCCTTACCCTGGTGTAGTAAGCAGCACATGAAGGATCAATCAAAATCTCACATAATAAGAAAATAAAATCAACAACAGTATGTTCATCTACCAGGAACACCAAAGTGACATAATTTAGCATAATACCTGGTACGGATGAGTTTTTATTGACAAAGTGGTACTCACAAAGAGATGTGAGTAGTGTGTATGGATAGTTCCACTCCCGAGGGGAGCTCCGGCTCAGTTCTCTGAAATCTTCCAAATGGTACCCTTGGGTACTATGTTCGGGAGAGCTGGCATAGAGTACAGTGACTATCCTTCTCAATGTCACATGTTCACACTATGCACACAGGATTCACAGATAAAATGTAACCATGCAAGGTGGTAGATGTTTTAATTATCTCAATTGTGTTGAATGATTCAAACAGTGTCAAGGGGCCAGATGGCAAAGGGTTGGCAAAGGGGCCAGAATGGGACACTGGGGAGCCATGAGTCAGTCGGTCATATATCATATCATTCTGTAATGCCATCAACAAGGGAAGTGAGCAGGACAATAGTCAAATAATCAGTAGCCCCTGATGTAGAACCAAGGAAGTGGGCAGACAGCCCTGGTGCACCCAAGCAAAAGCAAAGCTCTGCTTACACAAGGATCTGCACACCTCAAAGGACTTATGCCACTCTCAAGACAGGCAACCCATGGGCACAATGCAACAAGGACAATAAGGGCAGAGACCGGGTGAACACAAACAGTCTAAAAAACATGGCTACAACCTCAAAACTAAGGCAGAAGCTTAGCTAGAAAACACACAGACAGAGCAAGAGGTCTTGTACAGCACACTCCTCCAAATATTTCACACCCAATGCCACTTTGTTCCTTCTGACATCAAGGGATGACACGCTTCTTTTATTACGACACACCTTCCCACGTTTGCCATGGGTCCCACCCTTACATTAACCCCTTCCACAGGCCATACTCAAAATCCCATTTTAAACTTCTTCCCCCACTACTATTTCCAAAGCTCTCCTTCATTTGGAGGAGGAGGTAGGGACACTCATACTCCACAGCCTCTTCCTCCCCTCTTTCTGACCTTGACATTCCTCAACAGCTCATGGACTGTTACCACTTGCTTTTCTCCATTGGTTCTTCAACCCTGGTAAGTCTACTTCCTGTCTATTTCATTCAGCTTTGTCATTTCTATGCACAACATTCCTGAGAAGAATGATTTTTAGAAGAGGAAAAGTTTATTTGGTACTCAGAGGTCTCAGTCCACAGACAGCCAGCTCCATTGCTTTGCCCTAGGTAAGTAGCAAATCATATTGGAAAAGTTATATTGGAGGAAAGCAGCTCTGGACATGGCTCAAGGAAGCAGACAGAGAAAGTTCTGCTCAACAAAAACAAAAAATTACCCCAAATGCACACCCCCATGAACCCACCCCTCCTCTAGCTACACCCCACCTGCCTATAATTACCACCCACTTAATCCCTATCAGACAATTAATGCACTGATTAAGTTAAGGTTCTCAAAACTCAATAATTTCACTTCAAAGCTTTCTTGCATTTCTCACACATGAGCTTTTGGGAAACACCTAATATTTAAGCCATAAATCTGTCCTACAAATCCTCTGATTCCATTTTCATTAAACCAACCATTAACATTCATGCAATCAACTCAACTGAAGTATTGTTTTAAAGCATGTCAAATATTTCAATATATTTTTAATACAATAGAAGGATACATGACAAATGAATATCACCATCCCTACTGAGTGGATAAAGTCCAGGTGACTCAGCTGGACCCCATCATCAGCTGAGTCACCCGCTTAGCAGAGGTGGAAAGCCTTCATGTCTGCACTGACACCCATATTTCTCATTGTACATGGTTTCCCCAAACAGGCTATTTCTTATCTGCTCACCCTTGCTTACCCTGTGCACTCTTTCCACATCCATAACTCTTTTTTACCTTAGTAATTTCCACTCCTCCAGAACTTGTCATGTCAGAAACCATCTGTCTTTGGAGGATTTTCCTAGTATAGCCACCCACATTCTAAGAATGGCTTTGTGAAGTGCCCTTCTGTGTGCTCCCATGAAATTACTTTTTAAGTTCTTTTGTGGAATATACCACCCTGTCCTATAATAGGTGCTTGCTTTCCATTTACCAAATAGGCTCTCAATTCTCTAAGAACAGGAACTATCTTAGACACACACGTGACCAGAGGGAAGTAATCCATCATGGTATAAATCCTTCCCTCCACTATGATTATACTCTCCAGGCCTCAATGATATGTATATCTAATACTCTGGAAGGAAGGGTGATAAAGTTTGATTATAAAGTGTCTCCCAAAAAAAGATACCATACTAAACAGAATGAGATATGTAAAAATGTGGGGAGAAGAAAATAGTCAAGGACTAGTTTACATACCTCCTCCCCCAAATTCTGTTAATGTAAGGATATTTAGAATTTAAAGGAATAGATTATGAGACCTGTAATCTAATCAGTCCATCCTAGTTTGAACGGACTGACAGTGATAACTGCAGGAAGGTAGAATGAGGCTAGAGGAGGTAGGTCCCTGGAAGTATACACTGAATGGGTTCTTCCTCCAGTGTCCCCTTCCTCTCTCTGCTTCTGGACCCCATCATCAGCTGAGTCACTCTCTGCTGGGCCCTTTCCTCGTGATGTGCAAGACCACACCACCACAGGCTCCAAGGATATTCCAGAAGAGGACATTCTTTTGAGAAGAGATCTTGGTGGTGCCCTGCTTGCACTGGGGAGCCTAAGAAGTTACTTCACCATGCTGAGCCACATAGGCATTGAGAAGCCACTGCAATTGTGTTCTACATGACGAGTTATTGCACAACCTGGCAGCAGATCTTGGTGTCATCCACATGGTCCTGGTTCTGTAAGAAAGAAGGATGCTTGGGTTAAATGATCATGGAGGCTTCCACCAATATGTCAAAGAAAAGCCTGAGAGGTCAAGAAAAGTTTAGCAGAGTCAGACCCCATGGGCTATTGCTGAGAGGATGATGCATGGTTGACTGGATTATAAGTGTAGACAGGTAGGGCATGGTTGGAGGATGTGACCTGGAAGGGTACATCTTCCTTGTGGCTCCTGCCCCCAACCCTTTTTTCTTCCTGACCCTGCCATTAGCTGAGCAACCTCCCTTACTGGGCCCTTCTCCCATGTTGTACTGCCTCACCTTGGGCCAGAGCAATGGCTAACTATAGACTGAGACCTTGAAACTGTGAGCCCCAAATAAACTTTAAGTTGTTCTAGTCAAATATTTTGGTCACAGCAATGAAAAGCTGACTAAAACAGTTATCTAGGATATTTTTTCTTTATCTGCTTTTTTAACTTGTATATTGGATGTTCTATTATTAACTTGGTTATACCTATGTTGGATTGCTTTATTTTAACTTGGTTAATCTGTGAACTGTTTCCCAGAATTCATTTTTTCTCTATAGTTCCAGGTTGGCAAAAAGAACAACTTGGACAAGATTTTGTAGGTAGAAGTGAAGCCTTAACTGCTAGCTCTCAAAGATCTTTTTGTGGACAAAATTGTGACAAACACAGGTACCTGACAGGCACAGATGCTGGACTCCTTTTTACTTTGAACCTCTCTCTAACTCTTATATTTGGTTGGAATTCAAGGCATATAAATTTCCTTTAAGAGAACAATTCATGAAATTCAGTGTTTGTAAAAAAAACTCTAAAAGAAAAGTTCTTTCCCAGTTTTATTTTAAACTCAGGCAGGAGTAGCATATATAATAAAGAAAAATTTTATGTTTTTTTAACAAAAAAAGTATTCTTTATTTCCACTGCTAGAAATATTTTCAAATACTATTTGGTATTTTCCAAATGTTTTTGGTGATTTTTATTAATTTTTTTAAATTTGTAAATAGTTAACAAACACTATGTCCCAGGCTAAGTCCCAGACTTGGGACATAAAATGAGAAAAATAAAATTCTTCCTTGTTCTCAGGACCCTTATAGCACAATAAAAGGAGACAGACAATTTTACAATGTGTTAACTTTCCATCACTATAGCAAGTACCTAAGACAATTAACTTATAAAGAAAAAAGATTTTCTTGAGGCTCACAGTTTTAGATGTTTTAGTCTATGACTGCTTGGCTCTATTGCTTTTTTGACCTGCAGTGAGGCACACATCAAAGTAGGAGCATGTGACCGAATAAAACTACTCACCTCCTGGACAGGAAGTGAAAGAGAAGAGGCAGGGAAGGATTAGGGTCCCATAATTCCCTGAGGGTCATACCCTCAGTGACATAAAGAATTTCAGTAGACTGGCCACACCTCCTAAAGTTTCCACTACTTTCCTATAGCACCAAGTAGGGGATCATGAGTCTTTGGGGATATTCAACTACAAACTACAGCACTGTCTTCATAGTTTGTGACATTATAGTGAGATACATACTGAGATACAGATTAAGTAAGATTGTTTAGAACAATGAGTGGGAAAACATATCAAATCTTGGAATTGAGAGTAAAAAAGAACTGGTCAGTGGAACTGAAATTGAAAAGAAATTTTTAAAATGTAAGTGATGACAGGAGAGAGGTTAGGAAAGCTGTCCTAGGCAGAGGAAGCAGCCTTGCAAAGGTCCAGAAATGAAAAAGGGCACAATATCTTGAGACATGAAATGATTCCTAGTAAAATGTAGAAGATGAGTGATGGAAGATGTGGCCTTGGAGATAAGCCAATGATACAACAGGAAGTCTCTTATAAGCCATGGTACAGATTGGAGATTTTGAACATGGAAATTACCTGATCAGATGTGGGCTTTAGAAAGATTATTCTGGTTGAAGACATGGTTGGAGACAGGACTTAGGTGAATCCTACCAAAGGCAAGGAAAGCAAATGGACTATTGCCACAATGTGGGAAAGAGAAGAAAATGGCCTAAATCAATGTGATACTAGTAGGGACAGAGAGAAGGGCCAGATTCAAGAGGTAGTAAAAACAAAGATCACTGGAACTTGATTTAAACAGGGAATTGATTATCAAAAGGGTCAAGATTGCCAAGAAAGCTCTTGGCTTTAACATCTGAGCAAATAGAGAAGGAGGAATAATGACTCCTGCTTTGTATACCTGTCAAACATCCAAGAGTGTCCAGTGAACATTTGGTCATGCTGGTCTACAGGTCAGAGAGCAATCCAGACTGGAGAATTAATTTGGGACACTTTGTAAAATACTTGGTAATTGAATTTTAGGAATAGAAAGTATCACCTATGAAGAGAAAATAGAATGGGAAGAGAAAAATTATGTGAGGTAGATAGATGAGTGTTGTATCTAGGACAAAAGTCATTTTATAGGAGATAAAACTGTTAAACAGAAATTTTGGACTAAGATGATCAAAATTTTTTCTAGTTCAGAATTAATGGATCGTATTTCTGGCCCACTGATTCAAAGACAGAAGGGCTTACTTTCACAACTTATAAGTCAAGAAGATTGAGAGTCAGTTTCAGGAGAAAACTCACACAAATAATATTAAGAAAAGGTTTAAAAACAGCTTTGACATAGAGTAGAACTACTTACTTGAGAGATAAAAATATATTTCAAACCCACAGTATCATTTATTTATCAGAAGTCAAGAATCTAGAGTGGGGTCTTACGTTAGGACATACAGGACTCATAAAAAGATTGGAATAGCTCATTTCAACAGACTGACAGGCAGCAACAGACTCTGACAGGCACCATCTCATTTCATCTTCACAGCTACCTTCACTGTTTTACATGCAAGGCTTCATATGTTGAGGTTTTACACCAGAGGACTGGGAGAGCTAGGACTCCACAGGCGTCTTGAGAGAACAAAACCCTTATGCTCATGACAACTATCATGTGTCTCAGAGGGGAGAAAATTAAATAAGCTCAATTACACTCAATTTAAATTTAAAAAATATTACTGCCTTTTATGCTTACACTGTCTAAGTCTAGAAATGCAAGAAAGAATAAGTATCTATGTATCTAGCAAATTGCCAGTAGGGTAAGGAAATTCCATATATCCCTGAACAGAAAAGAAAAAGGTGTGTATTGTAATAAGTATCTTAAAAGAGTTACAAACTACATGCAATTGGAACACAAAGAAGAATACCCTCTGCATGGAAGCAGAGGGCAAGGGCAAGTCTGATATTTCATTCAGAAACAGACATTCGGGCCCTGAAGGATGAGTGAGATTTCTTTTGAAAACTCTCCCTCCATCTTCAGACTGGGTTAGGGATACCTTTTAAGTTCTAATTGCATCATACTAGTAGCACTTCATCATAACCACATTCTAATTGCCCACATCTGCAAATAGAGTTCCCAAATGTTGAGTTCCCATTGAGTTCCCAACTGTTTCCTAAGGATATAATAGACAACCTAACATGTACAATTTATTCTATAAATGTTTGCTATATTGAATTCATGAAAATTAATTTATGAAAATGAAATAACCAAGCAGATAAGAGTTGGGAAGACATTTCAGGCAGAAGGAAGATTCAAAGCACAAAGGCATGGAAAACACAAAAGTTCCACCAAAAGGTCTACATGTGAATCTTAGAAAAGCTTTCTACATAGTTGCCTAAACTTGGAAGCAAACTAAATATCCTCCAACATATGAATGAATAAACAAAGTCTGGTTTATCCATAAAGTTGGACATTATTCAGTAAAAAGGAAATGTGTTTTCAAACCATGAAAAGACATGGAGGATCTAAATGTATAATATTAAGTAAAAGAGACCAATCAGAGAAGATTACAAACTGTATAATTTTTTATATGACATTCCAAAAATCTAAAAATATAGAGAGTAAAAAGATCAGGGACTAACAGAGATTTAGAGAGAGAAAGAGAAGAGGAATAGTACAGTGAATTTTAAGGTAATGAAACAACTTTATATGCTATTATAATGGTGGACATATATCACTATCCACTTATCAAAACCCCTTATTAGGTGAACCCTAATGTGGACTCTTCAATCAATAATAACTTATCAACATTGGTTCATCAACTGTAATTAATATATTACATTAGTGCAAGATAGTAGGAGAAATGTGAGAGAGATAAGAGTGTAAACGGAAATTCTGCACCTTCTGAAAATTGTTTTTGTTAAAATTGCTCAAATTTGCTCAAAAATTGAAAAATAAGACATGAAATTCATTTGAAAAAATTAAGAGGCCCAGAATATCCAAAGCAATATTAGAGAGAAAAGTGACGCACATGACAGCACAATTCCAGACTTTAAATTACGCTACAGAGCTATAGTAACAAAAATAGCATGGTGTTGGCACAAAAACAGACATGAAGACCAATGGAACAGAATAGAAGACATAAGAGACATACCCACATAAATAGTTATCTCATACTAGACAAAGAAGCCACAAACATACATTGGTGAAAAGATAGCCTCTTTAACAAATGGTGCTGGGAAAACTAGAAATCCAAGAAAAGTAGAATGAAATTGGACACCTATCTCTCACCTTGCACAAAACTCAACTCAAAGTGGATCAAGGACCTAAGCATTAAGCCAGAGACATTGCACCTACTAAAAGAAAAAGTAGGCCCAGCTCTCTACCATTCTACTTAGGAACCAACTTCCTCAATGAGATTCCTAAAGCTCAAGGAATAAAATCAAAAATCAATAAATGGGATGGAATCAAACTAAGAAGCTTCTTCACAGCAAAAGAAACAATCAAGAACATGAACAAAGAATCTACAGAATGGGAAAAAATCTTTACCACCTGCACCTCAGATAGAGTATTAATCTCCAGAGTATACAGAGAATTCAAGAAACTTAACATAAAAATAACCCAACCAATTAAATGGGCAAATGAACTGAACAGGCCACTTGACAGAAGAAGAAATAAGAATAGTCAAAAAATACATGAAAAAAATGTTCAACATCTCTAG